ATAATCAGAGCATCTTAACAATGGAGATGGTTTATTCCGTTATCCCTGAAAATACAATATTCTATGTAATTATCGCCGTAGTATTTATTTATCTACGAAAATATGTATCTCCAACTCCAATCCCAATCCCAACCCCGACCCAATTCCAATTCCAATCTCCACTGCGTCAGATGTGAATATAAAAGAATTAAAACGAGATATGTTAGCTCTAAAAAATGATCATGCAAGAATAGAAAAAGATTTGGAATGGAAAAGTGAAGTCCGAAGTCAAGGTTCGTATTATATTACAAGTTTAGCGTGTATTCTACGTGTTGATTAATATGGTGCGTATTTCTTTATTAGGACAAGTATCTGTGCAGAGTCACCAATCTGAATATCCCATCAAAACTGATACTCTCTGGGTTGAATTATACGTGTTGCCCAAATCCCAAATTACTAGTATTTGAGATTTGGGATTTGGGATTTCGACAAAAAATACTAATCATAATTTGGGATTTGGGATTTGGGATTTGGGATTTGGGATTTTGGTATTTGGGATTTTGGCATTTGGATTTTGAATTTGAGTGGCAGGTATAGGTTGAATTTACTGCCCTATTTGACGAGAGAAGAAAAAGAGAGAAATGGTCTCCTACGAAATTATATAACGTATTATCTGAAGAAATTGGACTAAGTCCAGCTACACTCGCTACTTTTTATCGACATCAGAGAGCACTACTAACAACTTCATTAGATAAAATCGCAAATTGGGTCAAGAGAGAAAACCGGAAAAAAGATAATTTGATTGATATTAGTAGTAGCAATAGGAATAATTTTTTGAGTAGCAGTAATATAATTTTAGATAACAATAACAATAACAATAACGACAATAACGATAGCTAGTATGGGGTGGGAAAGGAACTGCCATTTTTTACAATGTAAAGGGACTAGGACCCCGGTAGACATTTATGCTTCATTCCTCCCTTTAAACGTCCCTGCCTACGTTTCTATCTATTCATTATTTTTGGCCGGCCTTTACATTCTAATGCACGAAGTGTAGTTTTTTTCAAAAGATGTAACATTAAAAAAATAATAAATGATAAGTAATATTTTATTTCGTGATTCAAGTGAAACTTTACTATGTCATAAGTTATGGAAGTATTTGTTGATCTATTATTTCACAAAATCTACCAGAGGTATCTAATGACCTGGTACTCATCCGAACATTTGTAAAGTTTTTGTTGTACCAAAAATGTATGACATTAAGTCTCCTCTCCTGTAACCTAATACAAGGCCAATATGGGTCTTTGACAACATCATCCTCTCGAGAAAAGTGAATGACCCAAACCTCGGAAGGTTTAAATTGATCGGAATAATCAAAAACCCGTTCGAAATGCTCATCCAATTTTGATAAGGACGATGTTGCTAATAATTCAAGAACAGCTACAGGAGAGGGGTCATCACTTTTTTTAATAGTAAGGTCACAATAAAAATGATGGTAACCACCATCTTCGCAAATTCCTTTCAGATGCCACTGACCAGTTACTTCATATCCATGTACCTTTGCAAGCCAATTTGTTAGGATTCTATACATCTCAGCATCATACATACTCTCCCGAGGAACCTTCCCATTCTGCTTAGAATCTACTAACAAATGGTTTGAACTTTTATAGGAGCGGAAAGATCCAAGAGTGATTGTTTTTGGATCAAATGTACTGACAGTAGACTTTACTACCTCAAGAACATCCATTGTTCCATTAACTTGCAAAGGTACATCTTCATCTGGACAAAAGTAACTTATATCAGATATTATACATGGTTTTTTCGAAGAAAAATCTACTATATTTGCGTCACTCTGCCTCTTCCCTAATACTGATGATGATTATGATGATGATGCTAGCGATGATGATGATAGTGATGATGATGATGGCAATGATGATGGTGGTGGCGATGACTTCCTTTCCTTGTTAGCTTTTTTCCACAAGCTATTTACTTTCCCAACATCAGTCTATAAAAACAAAACCAGATGAGAAATATTTTCCAGTAAACACAATCATATAAAAATAAGATTAGATGGCGGGTGCAGGAATATATTTATAGATAAATTTTTATTAAGTGGACATCTGAGAGAGAGAGCCGTGTAAGAATTGGTGAGAAATTTCCATTTTTTGAAGTCCAGATTTCTGTAATAAATACCAACTTGATTTTCTTATATTTTTTCTCAGGCATGGTGGTATTCGATTTTATCTACTGGAAGACATGAAAGTATCTCTTCTTCTTTTTTGGGAATGCTGGAAAATCTTCTAATTGTGAAATCGCTTTCTCTAATAATTTTTTTCTACCCCATTGGTAAAGTCCACTTAATGTAAAGAAAGGTATATAGTTAAATCCTCCTTTGGAATCAACAGATCTTTACTAAAAATTTATATATCAATAATTCCATGATGTTTACCAGGACGCAGCCAGTAAACGCATCCATTTCAGTACTTGCATGATTCCTACTAGGGCGCATCCAATAGGTACAAAGCACCTGGCCATAAGACCCCATCAAATCTAATTATTTCACAGATAAGCTTACCTTTCTGTTTCCTATAAGATTTTGTGCAATATCCCGAATTTCTTGTATTATATTTGAATTATTATTAATACTTTGTAAAGTATTAAAAAATGCTTGATGTGCTTTATCCTTTCTGGCAAACTTATAATTGTCTATTATAAGGGTGACATAGTGATGGAGCGATCAATTTTGATACGAGAAAAACTCAAAATATTTGTCATATGGAATATCATGAAATGCGAATAAATTTCCTCGAATATTATTAGTAGAAGTGGTAGTAGACATGATTAAAATATATTAAATGTATTAGAAAAAGTTATGCGCAAAATCACGATAATAACAGTGTAAAAATATACATATCGAACCTATCCTACAGGTCTTTTTATATTCTGCAACTGCAAAACAGGGTAAATAAGAAGAGATGCGTTAAAGTAACATTGGCAAAAAGACGCATTTTATAAAATGTGTATGATCAGATTAAGGAGCTAATCCGAAATAGACAGATCGCAAATATTTTACCTTTAAAAGAAAGTGTACCATTTCACTAGACGATCTGTGCATGCAGATACATCATTGTACAATACCTGATTTTTAGATGTACATTCTGTAAAAAAATAAATCGATTTAACTATGCATGTGACATGGAGCCCCAAGGGGCAAGCCCATGTGATCGTGGAAAAATGATCTATCGTTATATATGCATTGTCGAAGTCAACTTATGCTTTTATACTTACTATGTGAATTGAATTCTGATATTTATTTGTATAGTAATAAAGATGATAAGCTTTTTCACCGCAAAATTCGCCACTACCCCATATACCTTCTATATTATATTTTATATTTTCTTTTTTATGGTTTTTATTACATAAAGGGCAAGGTACTGATCTATTAAATTCAAAGTAATTATTTCTAAAGCTATGATTCAGAGTCAAATAAGGAAATCGCTCTAATACCATATTAATAACGTGTTGTTGTTTTTCTTCCGGATCTTTAGATAGAACAGAAATTGGGAATTGTCGTTTTGATGGTGTGGATTGAACATTTACTTACGGTACAAATAAAGTCTTTTCCTCAAAAGATTCAGGGGATTTGGAATCTATCCAAGAATCGAGGCCAGTTTCTTTTTTATATCTTTTATATAACTTGGAACGAATTTTATCTGTTAAAACGCCAATTAATTTAGCCTGCCAATCCAAATATTCAGGGGTTAGAGTATCCTGATTCGTAGAGATTTCATTGGGTTTGGTCTGCAAGTTTAACACATTCATGTTGTTATTTTATAAGATCACATTCGTTTAAATTTCTATATTGGATATCGTCCATTATCCTTTCAAGTTCGATGTGAGCTAGCAGGGTAGTAAAGAAAAAAGATATATAATTAACTATTTTTTAACAATTCTCTGTCTCAGGAAGTGAGGATCTAAATACTTATATCTGGCTCAATGTCAGAACTGAGAAGGTGTTAATATGATTTATACAATTATTTCGAAGCGAACTGGCATGACAGTACTGATTTTAGATGCTTCACATTTAATATAGTAAGATCCATCTTTATATTCACCTTTTATACCTTCTTCGTCCTCATGACTTAACTCGCATATTGGACATAATGATTCAACATTAACCCCATAATAATCAACATTTTCGCTACTAATTTCTTCATACAAATTGGGATACTGCTCCAATAATTTGTTGCGGAAATTAGCACGAGTATGGATTGGATTATTTTGCTTTTCAGATGTAGATACTTTAGTTTCTGGTGAGGTCTCCTTAACAGCGGATTTCGAGACAGGTGGTGTACCTACCTTGTTTTCTGATACTTCGAGTTCTATTTTTGGAGAAAGACTAAAATCAGAAGATAAATTTTCTTTATAAGTGCGGGACAGATTTGTCTCGCAGTCATGTGATTTTTTGGAAACGGAATTGATAATATTTTGAATATTAGTATCAGTTAAACATGAAATAGTAGTTGCACTATAAGATCGAACTTGCTTAATTTTATCTTTACCTATTGTTTCGAATAGATTATAAATTTTAATAATTCTCTAAATTTTCTTACGCAAATTTTCACGTGTGATGCCTAAAAGATGTTCAATCATTTCATCATAAATTTGGCCTCTTGCTAGATCATTAGCTCTTTTATTATTTTTGCAACTAGCCCCAATTCTGAAAGGATTAGACAAAATTTCACTAACCATTTTTTCAAAGTCTTTCCCATAATAATACCAGCATAAAATTTCTTCCTGTTTAGCTTGAATTGTATTTTTTTCCGCCAAGCTTGCTTTCTGGTATAAATGAACTAAGCTCTGTACAGTAACAGTTTTCTTATCGTTCAAATAAAAAGATTTCTTAATTTCAATGCTCTCTTCTATGATAAATTCTGTTAACTCTTGTATTAAACCTTGTTCTACCATTTGATTACGGGTAACTTTTTGGTCAATAGATATTTGTTCTGATTTATGTGCCTTAGCACTAGCTTCGCTATTGGAAATTCTTGACAAGGTTGAGTCAATACTTGCTCCCTCATGCTGAGAATTCGATTGGAGGTTTTTCTGTTCACGGATAATAATAGAGGGAGTATCTTGAGTTTAAAACTTCTTTTCCCGGTCCTCTCCCTTATTTCATTACTAACCCTTTCCTTATTTTTCTCATATAAGAAATTGTTAATCTCTTTTTCTTCCAATGATTTAGAGATCCCCGATTCCTGATATATATCAGAATTAGATATGTTATCGGATATGTTTTCTATCTTTTCAGGATTATTGCTATAATTCTTCTCTAAGGGTACGGAATCAATAGAGCGGTCTTCGGTAGGTGGTAGGATAGATGATTGGGAAGTTACTGGTAATTCAGAACAGTCTGAAATAACTTTTGTGGGAGATGCTTCCTGTTCATTAGTGATAACCTGGATTCGGTTTTGTTCCAATTTGTTAATTCTGTCTTTAAGCTCAACATTTTCAGCAATAAGGATGGCAGTATCCGTTTTATTTTTTTTCTCTAGCTCTTCCAACCTGGTTTTGAGATCAGTATTCTTTTCTATAACCTGTCTTAGCTTCACGTTCTCAGCCTCGACCTCAGCATACTTCTTTTTAAGTTCACTAATTTCAGCTACAAGCTTGGAATTCTGTTCTAATAAATCGATTTTAGATGAATCTTTAGATTCGCCCCTTTGGGCCTGTGTGTTTGCCATTGTTTTATATAAGATAGAGAAATATTCAAAAGCTTGAGTTAATAAAAATTACATGAGTACTTGAAAAAAACATCAATTACTTCGTGAACTCGGTTCACAAAGAATTCACTTTGCCAAAAAATTTAGATAAAATTCTCGATCATATATACATGAAAATATTGGAATAATCCTGAAAATATACATGCAAAAGTAAACACGATAATGTGTGTGAAATCTGCCACCAGAGTTAGCTTTATTAATATACCAATAAATACATGATAAAATACAATTACGAGATAAATAGTAAAAAATAATAGAGTTCTAATTATCATGTAGAGGGGAGGGAACAGTAGGGTTCGGATGAACGTTTCTGGGTGGGTGTGAACTAGACTGTTCCAATGCTCACACCAACAAACTCTTATTTACAATTATAATGTTCCTTAAAGTCAACAATAACCGTAGAAGAGAGCTCACATGATAGAATGAAGTTGGAAATAATGATATTTCTGCGTGATCTAAATGAAAATAACGTAGTATACCTCCTGCATCCTTGATAAGAACATTCAAATACATAACATCACCAGCTACCTGTATCCCTTCAATATCAAATTGGTTAGCCATTGGTCTACACGTTGCGTCAATGAAACTTACCCCATCCAATGTTTCTCTCCATAGCTTCACATAATCGTCATTTTTTTTAGTTTTACTACACTTGATACGAGAGGATTCGACATATGCAAGCTCAAAAATCTTCTCCATATTTTTTATCATCATCATAACATCAGGTTTCTTCCCCATACGCTCTCCACTAAGCCCTATATTTCTCCGAGCTTTGCTTGCAAAACTCTGGTGTTCCGCTCTACAAGTAGTAAAAAAAATTAGCAGAATCATTTCAACTTTCGTAATAAGATTTTATCAATAATCTCTCACGTTCTCAAGCAAATGTAATCATTTGGAAGATCTCCCAAACTCGCCCAAAGTAATGGGACTATGACATCTGTTATATATGTCCCCTCGCTTTGTTGATTACGAGATGTACTAGTTGCAAATGCTGGATTACTCCAAATCTCCCCGCTGATTAAAATTTATATAAGAAAAGTACGTCATTAAAAATATACTTTAAACAATTGATAAAATCACTTACAGTACACTCAGAATACGCTCTGCTATTTCAATAACTCAGATTCACTTTCTTTCCATGTTTTATTATGAATAATATTCCCCATATCTCTTGGAACATTTGTGTTATCGAAATTTTCAACAAACTCTCTGCACTTGGATACGACTGAATTAGGGAGAACGCATCTCATATTCTCGCGAGGTTCCTAATGAAATATAAATGTAAGTTTAATCTACTTAAGCACCCGATACTATCCATTCATACCATAAATATACGCTTCTGTCTCGCTCCCAATTCTTTCACTATCTCTGATTCATCACTGATCACTATGCTAGCTTCAGGATCCTTCCACGTGAGCTCCGATTGATTAATATTGTCCAGATTTACCCTGAGAGAACCATAAAGGTTTGCATCACTTTCTAATACAGGGTGCTAAAAAAATTGTAAAAATTTTTCAGCTAAGTTGACTCTATCAAGATATGCCTATAAAAAAAAGTCAAAGTTTACCTCGAGTTTGGATTTTAAAGTATTAAGATTTCGTTCTATCTCATCTCTCGAATGGTCTTGGAGTAATTCCCTATCCTATATATTGATTAGTCTCTAACATATTTATATTTTGAATCATATTATCTTTTGGAGACAGTGCACTTTGTGTATTAAACATTGTACCGTATTCAAAGTCTTTATTGAAAGCAAACCAACAACACTTTTGTGTTCGATTAGCATCTACAGCAGATATAATAGGGTATACCGGTATATTAGACTTATGATTATAAATCTCTTTGGAAATGGTAATATGTGCACGTGCATAATCAGGATAATCAAATTATTTATCACAGTTTTGGTTGTATAGTCACGCACAGCTAGGGAGGAGCAGAAACCTTCAACATCTGATGACATTGCTCTTCCAGGTTGGCACTCCCCAACCTTCAGCTATGACATACCAAAGTTTGACTAAAAATCTGCTGTAGTTACATCACTTTACATAAAAATAAAAAGAATAATTTTTGTTACTAACTTCGGGAAGTATTTCCAAGATTCTTGTTCTTTATTCCATATCAGATATTTCCGTTAATGCTGAATTTATCACGTGATCTGCCAAAGTTCTGATGTCTTCATATCTACTCAAATTGTTATCATTCATTGTCAGATAAACTACATTCGCACCACAAACCGCATCTAAAGGTCCGTTTAATAAGAGATTTTTGATTTGAGTTACTGACATTGTAAAATGCTTTAAAAAATATGAGTTTGAAATTATCGTTAATGTTGAAAATTATAAAGAGACAAATATCATAACTTTGCTAATACTGCCCTTTTAACATTTCTCGTTTTTCCTTTCTCGAGTGTATGCACAAGAACAAAGAATATGTATATATCTCGAGTTTGCTAGATATCGATATCCTGCCTTCTCACGAAGTCAGAGGTTTTAAGTTATATATGTGGAAATGAGGCGTAATTTTATTTGGTAATACATGTTGTTATCTATATATCTCTTTTTTCAAACATGAGAGGAAAAAGGGTGTAAGGGGTACTAATTAAATTTGGTAATCGGTGTATCGTATGATCAAATGATGCATGTAGATTTTATTACATTCGAATTCTTTCTATGACACATATCACGTGCACATTCTTTTTCAGAACGCTGATCACTTTTAGTCGCATAGTGACTATTTTAGTGAAAATATTAAGTTACACAAGTTATTTAATCAACTATAATCACTGACACAAGTGGTAAATCCTCAAATCTTTTTTCAATATGAGCTAAAACCTTTCTCGATAATATCTTAGATGGAAGTACATCTATCAACACTTTCTCAGCATCTTTTTCAGTACATATATACACCCACATAATATGGATTAAGGAACCTCCTTTATAATTATGCCCATAATGTTGCAAAAATTGATACTCATTCATTACAATATCTGTCATCTCCTCTTGACCCGCTATTAATTCTTGAAAAAGTTGTTTATCCTCATCTGTGATTGGGAGGTGAATTTCCCCAGACTCAAAACCTATATATTGAGATAGTTTTTCACGTAGTTCAGTCATTATATAGTAAACACATAATAATTATTAGTAAAAATGGTTCATTATCGTCATCTATTTATGTTATAAATCTCACAACTCAATCGCACTAAAAAATGAATCTGGTTTTAAGTATCTATATCGAACCCAAAATCTAATAGGTTTATAAAACCAGTATAATCACTAAATACTTTATAAGTCTCTATTAAATCGTTAAATATGTCAGGTCTTAATATTTCTATTATTATTGACAAAAAAGCTAAATCGCAGAAACTCATTAATAATAGACTGGGATATGATATGAAGTATGTTGTCTCGTATATTTACAATTATTGTGGTATTAATGATTATCAACGATACTTTGATG